ACACAGCTAGCAAATGAAGAACCGGGGTTCCAACTCAGGCATTTTGATACACTGTGTTACAATGCCTCTCCGCAAAGGCCCAAGGGACTGTGGTTGACTAGGGTGTAGAGGGCCAAGAAAGGAAAGGAGTAGGTTTTTTGTAGGTACTGAAGAGGAGGTCTTACCTGAGCAAGGTCAATCTGCAGCCAGCATAGAGGGAACCGATGCTGTTCCTGAACAAGGGCCCCAGCTGTGAAGGCATGAGAGGCAGATGAGCAGGAGTGGCCAAGACAACAGGGTGTGGCAGGGTTGGCAAGAAGTTAGAATTGTTGGGGGGCTCTCACCAATTGTTGCAGGTGCCTTTCAGTGGCATTGAATATCTCAGAGCCCAGGTTTCCCATGTCCTCTGTGTAACGCAGGTTAGTGATGGTGAAGTTGACAATAAAAGGTATCAAGAGAGGAACTGCAGCTGCAGGGAGGCAGAGAGTAAAGTGAGGCCCATCCTGGGTCAGGCCTGGGGCTGAGGGAGGGAGGGCTCTGAGGACTTGCCTTAACTTCAGTGCTGAGTTGGGGCCTGGCCTAGGTGACCTCGAGACACCTCGTGTAGCAGTCACTGTCCAAGACCCCCTCACACAGGGTGACCAACCATCATTTCCCCAGGACCATGTGGGTTTCTGGGATGCAGACTGTGTAGAAGTGCAAATGGAGCAAACAGAGAGGAGCTGGGCACCCTGTTCCTCCTTCCCTTTGACTCTTACCATCTCAGCACAGGCCAGGACCTACATCTCTTTGTCTTGGGGAGATCATCAAGCCCAGAGAGCATCCCTCTAGCAATGACAGGTGGGAGTTGGATGATAAGCACTCCAGCTCCCTCACCCTCATTTGGGATGACTCTAAGGTGTATGTTGTATGCATTCTCCCTTCCAGCCTTCAGAACAAGCTTCTGTGGTTGAAGCCTCCCAGTTTGTGGTACTTGGTCATGGCAGCTCTGGGAAACCAATAAACCAAATGACCCAACAATTCCTTTTTTAGTACAGTAAGTCCTCATGTAACGTTGTCAATAGGTTCTGTGACTTTAAGTGAAAAAATGTACAAAGAAACCAATCTTACATAGGCTAAGTGATATAAAAAAGAGCGTTCATACAACATCTCATCAATGTTATAATGAAATGATGTTGAACAAATCAATGTTATTTGAGGACCTGGGTTTATCCCCAAAAGAATTGGAAACAAGGACTCAAATGGATGCTTGTACATCCATGTTCATAGCAGCATGATTCACAATAGTCAAAGGTGGAAAAAGCCCAATTTTCCATCAACAGATAAATGAACAAATAAAATGTGATCTATCCACACAACAGGATATTTATCCATAAACAGGAATAAAGTTCTGATACATACTATGGCATGGAAGAACCTTGAAAGCATTATGTTAGCTAAAATAAGCAAGACACAAAAGGCCAGTTATATTGTAAAATTTCTCTTATATGAGATATCTATAATAGGAAAATGCATGGAGGCAGTAAGTAATTAGAGGTTACCAGGGACTGGGGGAGGAGGGTGGTGAGTAGGAAAAGGGGAGTTACTGTCTAATGGGTACACAGATCCAGTTTGGGGTGATAAAAATATTTTAGAAATAGTGGTGATGTGGAAGTAATCAATGCCACTAAATTGTACATTAAAATAGTTAAACTATATATCATAGATAGATAGATAGATAGATAGATAGAATAAAAATGTTATTCTTACTTGTTCTTGAAGTCACACTCACATAGGCCTCGGTGGACATCTCAGGTGTGGTCACAGGGACAAAGGAACTTTCAGACAGTGTACTGAAAGTGGCTGTAGTCTCAGCCACAGTGCGGTCTGAACCTGTGGCAGCTGACTTAGTGGCTGCAAGAGTTGTAGTTTTCAGGATAGTGGTTGGACTTAATCCTCCTGGGCTGCTTTCAGCTGCAGTCAAGGTCACAGTGCCCCCAGTCACAGTGTCGGAAAATTCTGGAAAACCAACTGAGGCTGCAGGTGGCGAGGTTAGTGTGCTCCAGGAAGCTACAGTATAAGGCTCACCTGTGGTTGCAGGGGTACTGGCAGGCCCAAGAACAACAGAGGAAACAGTCAGAGTTGGAAGACCTGTACTGGCCTTAGATGCAGGGCTGGTGGCCAGTAAGCTTGTGGTGTCTGATGAACCATGGAAAAGAGTTGAAGTTGAAATAGTTGTGCTGAGGTCCATCCCAGGTTGGATGGATAGTGAGGCTGTGGTATCTGGTAAATGAGGAAAAATAGTTGAAGCAAGAAAATTTATGCTTGTCTCTGCACTGGGGTGGGTGGCCAATAAGGCTGTAGTCTCTGGTTCACCAGCAGTAAGAGTCAGAGTTGGAACAACTGTGCTGTCATCTGTTTCAGAAATAGTGACCTGTGAGGTCACCTTATCTGGTACACCAGGAGAGACAGTCAGAGTTGGAAGAGCTGAACTGGTTTCTGTCCCAGAGTCGGTGGCCACTGTGAGTGTGGATTCTGATTCACTAGGGGAAACACTGGGGGTTGTCTTGGACATTGTTGGGCTGGTCTCTGTAGGATGGGTGACAAATAAGACTGTTGTATGTGGCTCACCAGAGGAATCAGTCCGAGTTGGAACAGCTGACCTGACTTCTGTCCCATAATGGGTGATCCATGAGGGTGTGGTCTCCAGTTGATCTGGGGAAATTGTCAAAGTTGGAAAAATTGTGCTGGGCTCTGCCCCAGAACTAGTAGCCTGTGAGGTCACCACCTCTGGTACAACAGGTTGGACAGTTGTAGCTGGAACAGTTGAACTGGATTCTGCCCCAGGAATGGTGGCCATTGAGATTGTGCTGTCTAATTCACTATGGGAAAAATTGAAAGTCGTTTGGGAAACAATTGGGCTGGTGTCTAAAGGATGGGTGACCATGGAAACTGTTGCATCTGGCTCACCAGGGGACACAATCAGAGTTGGAATTGCTGACCTGGTTTCTGTTTCAAACTGGGTGACCCATGAGGCTGTGGTCTCCAGTTGATTTGGGGAAATTGTCAAAGTTGGAAAAGTTGTGCTGGTCTCTGCCCCAGAACTAGTAGCCTGTGAAGTCACCACCTCTGATACAACAGGTTGGACAGTTGTAGCTAGAACAGTTGAACTGGTTTCTGCCCCAGGGCTGGTGGCCATCAAGGGTGTGCTATCTGATTCAGTATGGAAAACATTGGGAGTTGTTTTGGGCAAAATTGGTCTGGTATTTGCAGGATGGGTGATCAAAGGGACTCTTGTATCTGGTTCACCAGAGGAAATGATCAGAGTTGGAACAGTGGTGCTGGTCTTTGTCCAAGAACTAAAGACAGGTGCAGGTGTGATTGCTGGTCTACTGAATATGGGTGGCGTTGTCCTGAAAACTGCTGTGCTGGTCTCTACACCAGGTCTGGTAGCCAAGAAGGATGTCATCTCCAAAATATCATGTGAAACACCTGGGGTTGTGATGATCACTCCTGTTGTGCTTGTGCTGGCTGTTTTACTTGATGTCCTAAGGAGCGTCAGCATTCCAAAAGAGGAAGTGGATACTCTGGTGGTCACGGTCGCTGTGGTGGTGGTCTGTGCCCTCTCTGTTCCTCCTGTTGGAGGTCGCTGTGGTGGTGGTGGTCTGTGCCCTCTCTGTTCCTCCTGTTGGTAGCCCTGTGAGTTGTGGGATAGACACAGAGTTTTGCACAGAATGATTACACTTACTGAACTGGCAAGAACTTATTTTTTTTCTTCCTACCATTACTACTGTTACTAACACCACTGCCACTACCTTCCATTACTGCTGCTATTACTACTCTTATTAATATTGTTACTACTACAACTATTACTACTTACCATTATTGCTGTGACTACTGTTAATACCACCACTGCTGCTATCTATCATTACTGCTCTCACTACCATCATTACCACCTATTACCACTGTTATTACTACTGTTATTTACTATGACTATTAGAGTTATTGCTACTGTTATTACTAGAGCCATAACTACCGTTATTACTATGACTATTGCCACTGTTATTACTACTTTTACTTTTTCTGCTTTCACTACAAAATAAATGTTCACTGGATTAAATTTGCCAGGAACCACACTAGCTGGCCAATGTGAGTGGAAGTCAGTCTCTGAGAAAGAGTAGAGTGTCATTGGCTGAGACAACAGCTATTGACCAGGGCTTCCGTAAATAGTTCCCAGGAAAGAGGAGGAACTAACTGGAGGCTTCTCAATGGAGACCACAAAGCCTACTGAAGCTTAGTGCAGGGAGAGAGACAAAATTAAGAGGATTTTGACTCTGATGGTGAAGCCATGCCATATGCTGCTAAGAATACCCTGAAAAACATATTTCTGAGAGTAGACATTCTAAAGTGATTCCAATGTGTTTGATGACGGTGGTGGTGATAGTGGTAATGATGAGCAACTGTAAAGCACCTGGCATTCTGTTCCTCTTTGATTATCACAGGAACATTGCAAGTACACCCTATTATTGTATTTGACAGAAAAGTAAAACCTCAGAAATCATAATTTGCCGAGGTCACACAGCTACTGACAAGATAGCATGGAAATGTGAACTGATAGTTTTCTCTGTATCCTAAACCTTTGTTAATAACCATTTATATTAATTTTGTAACTGAATTTCAGAATCCTGTGGGGTCTAAAATGAAAAGGATATGAGGAAAAAACATCCATTTTGGTGGTGTAGGCAAGAATTTTGTATTCAGTAGATCTCAGACTGGAAAAATACTGCTTGTCACAACTGTGTGTATGTGGAGTACGCAACAGGCATTTATGAGTACAAGCCAGGGATGTTCTTAAACAACCTACAACACATGAAAAACTCACCACAACAAATAATTATCTGGGTTGTTACTTGTCAACTGTGCTGAGAGTGAAGGAACATCAGACACACTTGCAACTGTTCCTAAGACCAAATTCTCTGCTATAATGGTATTAACAACGGGTAATAAAGATATCCTCACTAGCTGGGTTCAAGATTTGAGACTATTAACGATAACCTACGATTCATCAGAAGTACTAATCATTGTGCAAAAGTTGGTGTCTCCTGTATGAGAGGTGGTATGTGAGAAAGTAATAGGAATGGGGGATGGGCTGGTTGAAGAGAGAGCAGTAATGACGGTTGAAGAGGGAAATGATGTTGAAGTTAATGGAGGTAGGGTCCTTGCAATGGTGGACTAAAAAGCATACCCAGGGCCTAGAAAATGGGCTGGTTGCAAAGAAAATTGAAATGGAACCTATAACTCCTGATAAGAAGGAGGAAAATGAACTTTCTGACAAAAAAGAGGTGAATGTGACAGCCAGAAAGATCATAGATGAAGCCAGACTATGAAGACACCAGGAATGAGGATCTTCAAAAAAGAAGTTCAATGAGTAGGTATATGCAAAAGAGTGGGTGTAGCTGAGCTGAAGCCCAGATGAATGCTTGTCAAAAGATCAACAGGCAGAGGAAAAAATGGCCAGTATCAACGATTCAGAATGAAAAAACAAAGGCATCAAAGTAGAAGTAGTAGTCACCTAAAAAAGACGAAGTTCCCAGTGGATATAAAACATTGGATGACAAAGACTGGTTGGTGGGAGAAGAATGTCTTTCCTGTCTTGACCTGGTGGTCCCCACACTGGTCTCAGCTGTGTGT